GTGTGTGTGTGTGTGTGTGTGTGTGTGTGTGTGTGTGTGTGTGTGTGTGTGTGTGTGTGTGTTTTCATCTGAACAATCCTCCTGTTTATCCTGTGCTTTCTGTTGTCTCCGTTTTTCTTCTTTGTATTGACTTTCCTCCACCTCACAGATGACTTTGTCACTGTGTTTCCTTCCAATTTCCCTCATATGTCTTTTTTTTTCTTCCTCATGGTGATTTTCTCATTAGTCGAGTGCTTTTTGTGACTCCAGGATGCTGTGGAAGGGGCTGTTCAGCACTTTGTGCCCATCAGCTGCAGCTGCAGGCCTGAAATAACAAATACATGCATTAATCAAAGGAAAGAACCTTTAACTGAGGAATTATTCCTCTAAATCTGTTGGAAACAGAACCTCATTGTGAAGTGAAAGAAGTGACTCGTATTTAAAGTGTTTTACATGTGTCTGTCCTGTCTTCAGTGGCAGTCCATCACCATCACGCTGGTGGAGAAGGTGCAGATCATCGCAGTCTTCCTGGGCTCGCTCTTCCTGGTGGCCAGCATCTCCTGGCTGCTGTGGTCGGCCTTCAGCCCGCAGGCCATGTGGCAGCGCAGCGACGTCCTCTTCCAGATCTGTTACGGCATGTACGGCTTCATGGACCTGGTCTGTGTGGGTCAGTACAAACCCAAACATAAAACCATTTACTGGAGCTCAGAGGTGCAGGAAAACACAAACTGTTGACACGTTGTCCTGTGTGGAAACAAACCACATGTAATCAGTGTGTTCTTATAACCAGTACTAGAAAAAAATACTGAACCAAACTGGTTCCACTAAACCAAGTTGAGTAAATTGAGCAATATACTTATTTAATTTTAAAGAAAATCTGTATACTGCTTCATATTTACTCTTCTAGGTTTAGTGGAACCAGTTGAGTAAATTCAGTACTTTAGTTTTTTAGAGCAGAAACTCCTCCTTATGGACAGATTTAATTTGTAACGAGTAACTAAGGGTTACATTTTAAAGTAAAGAAGTAAAAGTATCATTTT